TTAAAATAAATAGCCTATACTTAGTTGATGGTCCCCACACTAGAGACCATCAAAACAGTCCTTGGGATGCTGTAGGAGATGATGTGTTTCTCCTTGCTCACACTACAGTTGGGCCTAGAAACTGGATAGCACTTAACCCCACTGTGAAGCATTTCATCATCTCATCTGTCTAATAAGGATCCCGCTGAAGAATTGTCCTGACCTACTGTTTAAGTAGCAGTCTCGCTGGAGTCTCAGTATCCCCTTCCACAATGGTCAGATCTTTAATCCTCCCTCTCTGTCTTGGATATATTAACATACCTATGCTTACACTTGGATGCACAAATGGATGCCCATACGGCAACTGAAACTAATTAGGATTAAACTGACTACAGTTCTTTGGTTCATTTCCCTGCAGCCTCCAATGTCAGTCGCTATTCGGCAGCTCAGTTGAGAGAGTCCTGTTGTAGGTACAATTTACAGATGTTAATTCAGGCACATAAGGCCTGATCCAAAGCCTACTGAAGTCAATGGAAAGCCATGATCCAATTCCACTAAAATCAATGTGAGTCTTTCCACTGATTTCAATGGCAGAAGATTGGGCCCTGTATTACCAGACCTATGGATATTTGTATAGAGGTTATTACAGCAACCTATGTACTATCCTCTTTATCATACGGTACAAACACACATATACACATATTTCCATAAAAAAGAGTTGGCCTTATTCTGCTCTCACTTATGCCAGAGTAAAGCCCTGATTCAGTAAGAAAAGCCAATGGTGAAATTCCCATTGACTTCAGTGGATCCAAAATTTCTCCCATGTGACTAACTTTAAGCATGTGAGTGATCCCACTGGGCATGTACTTAAGGACCTACCTGAACCAGGGTCTATCTCAGGAGCAAAGAAGTCAAAGAAGTGACCCGTGCAAAATTAGTAAAAGGCACACCAGAATAAAGTTAAGTATGTGCTTAAGTGCTCTGCTGAATCAGAGCCCAATTATTCAGCACCTTGAAGGATCAAGCCTCTAGCATACCACAGTGTTTAATGGGAATATTACTCTTAAATTTTCTTAAAAATTACAGTTTAGTTGTAGTCTGAAAGGTAACTTTGCAAAAAAAGTCATTATGGGGTTCCATCTTTATTGTCTCTGTGGCTTCCAGAAAGAATCTGCTTGGTTTATAGGTGGAAATCTGTTTTCTTTTACTAACTGAGACTCCTGAAAATCCAACATGAAAGTCAAACTGGACTCCTTCTAGCTCATGCATTAGTAACAATACAGATTTTGCATTTGGAACTCAGTAAATAATTCTGTTCCTTCTGCATGAGCCAGAATAAAATCCAGTTCCCTCTCCCATAGCTATATTGGCTCTGCAGTGCTGAAAAGAGTGAAAACTTATTTTAGGCAGTATAGTAAATAGATATGACTCAGAACACATTCAAGGGACATCTCTGTTAAGTAAGATGGTACCATTTTTATGTAGTTACTTTTAAAAGCAAAACAACCATATGTTAAGCTTTCTGGTATTTACTTTTCCTACTTGGTGAGAATTTAAGAAATGTGAGTAGGTCAAATCCCAAAGTAGTTGTGTGCTATAATTCTCAAGTAGTACATTAGAGACAAAGGTGTTGTTTTAAGTAAGGAAGAAAGTTATCAGGTGAATTTTTAGTGTGTGTGTGTGATCTTCCCAATTTCTTCTATGCTTACCAAGCAGATGTCTATGTCACTGTGCTGTTTACTTCTCAGTGATTAAAAACAGTGTACATAGGGAGTAAAGTACATAGTTCTTAAAGACCCATGAATCCTTTTTGAATAACCTTTTATCATTTTTTTGAAGTTCTAATCTATTAAGGTTATTATTGCTCCCAGGAAACCAATAGTGAACTTTGACAATCCTACAAATATTTCTTTTCATCCATTTATTTTACTGTTCAGTAATTTTTAGATATTATTTTTCAAATTCATAATTCCAGAAAATGTTGCCATATTTTTTTTCTTAAAAATAACATTTTTACTGAATGTTAAGACTATCAGAGATCATAGTTTTAGCAAATACATACATAGCAGACAGCAAAAGCTTGTCTGGATAGGTGTATAAGTTTGTCTTTGTTTATTTCTTTCATTTCACTAGGTAAAACAGTACTTCTTACTCAATAGACCAGTGCTTTGTATGTATTCTGAGTCATATTTAGTCAGTAAAGTAAGTAGATACGTTTTCACTCTTGTCAGAACTTCAGTGTAGCTAAGAGAGAGGGATCTGAATTTTTAAAGGCATGTGTGGATTAGTACAATCTGATGGAACAATGAGGTGATCTTAAGATCATCAAGACACAACAATGGATCTTGAATGAGTATTATCAATTCTGTGCTCTGCAATCCAGTCCCAAATATGAAAATACACAAAATGCATTCTGTATCCTAGTTTGTTTTGGTACTTCAATATTTTAACACTTCATGGAAGGTTGTATGTATGTTTGTAAAATTAGATTTAAAATGTTTTAGACCTACCACTTGTGATGCTCAAAACAAAACAGAAGCTAGTTACAACACTGTTTCTAAACATATGTTAAAGTTGAGAAGGTGACAGTGTGTTATTCACCTTTTAAAGTTAATAAAAGGATGTCTGGAATATTATCAACAATACCCAGATCTATTCCAAATAAAAAATATGATTTTCATAGTCTCTCTTAGCCAATTAAACAACTGCCATTTAGGAGCCAATTTAAGTCTGTTAAGTACAATCCTTTATGTACTTTCCTGCTTAAAGGAAAAGACCACTTCCAGCAGCAGGAGTATCAGATTCTTACAGCATCCATGACACTTGTAAGCATTCAGTGGTCAGAACACCACTACATATCCTTCAAATGATATGGACCAGTGAAGCTGGAAGGTATCTTCACTGAACCAAACAGCCTGGTATCTCAGCAATCCACCAGGACATGAGCCCCAGCATGCCCCAGGGTGGTGTGCAGAATCTAGACTGAAACAGGTAGTGGATTTTGCATTTTGAAAGTCAACTGTTCTGAATGTTGAAATCTAAGAATATTTACCAGAAATACCTTTTGCTGCAAATGTTTGTATTCATTTTTGATTCCAGTATCTAGCAATAGGAATCATTTAGATACTTTGGTGATGGGTGTAAACAAAATCCTAAAACAGACAAACAGAGATAATAAAGAAAGGCACTTATAGTATTTCTAAAGCTAAATCATCTGGGTACATATTAAAATTAGATTTTCAAAAAATATTCTGCATTAACAGTAAAATATCATGTAATTTAAAATCTTAATATTATACCACTCTTTCCTATTAATACCAGGTATTAATAATAGCCCACTTAATATTAGTAATAGTTATAATGCAGAGCAAAATCTTCTAAACATGCATTGATTTTTGTAATACTGTGTCTCCATGTTTGCTTTATATCATTCCATTTTTTGAACAAAATGAAGTACATGCCTATTGTAAGAGAAGAAAAATTAAACCCTTCAAATATCCTTTTAATTTAGTTTCCATTTACTAACTACTCATTAAACTATATGGTATGCTTTCACCTCCTGACACTAACCTCACATTGTCAATCTTCTACATCACGATTCATTACCTCATTAATATGAAAATAACTGAGATGTCATAGATATAAACATTATGAAGTCACAAGTTTTGATGCATAATATGTAATTTATCTGAACGTCGATAATATCAGAACAAGTATGACTACAATTCTTTTTACAAAAATCAATTAATGGGATTTAAGTATATGTATTATAGTTTAAAATGTATTGTATTGAAGATGCATCCTCTTTTTTCAAGAGAGAAAATTGCAGGGAAATGGCCTATAATAATTACAAGAACTTCTCAAGTCATGAATCTTTACATGCACGGTCAAATCTAACACTTACACTTTAATGCTATGGATTAGGCATCATATCTTATGGAGTTGTGCTGATTACCACAATAGGAAGATGGGAAGCTGACAAGATACTAACTCCTAATGCAAACAGCCCAGGGAGCTCATAATAGGATTTAAAACTGATGCTAGTAAACCATGCCTGTTTCCCATACAGTCTTCTTCCCACATTATATTTTAAGAGGCATCAATTAAATCGTAACCCTGTTTGCAATACACACCTCTAAAAACAGTTTTGTAAATGGATAGCTACGCATATACCAAACTATAGGGTGCTGTAGTGTCTGGAAAACAGCATAGTATCTTTTCCACTTTGCTGTATTTCCAACCACCCAGCACTGACAGTGGTGTGCAGTGGGAAATTATCCCTCCCTCTCTTTACCCTAGTCAGTTTCCCGTTAAAGGTGTCGTAGCTTCATAAATTAATGGAGAGATTTTAAAAGCTTTTGCTCTCAGATATTAGACAGATCAGCATCAACTTCGGCATCAGCAACTTCTCTGATCACTGAGAAAAGGGGAGGGAACAAAAAAAAAGTTTGTTTGGCAGGGCTGGGGGGAAAGGGTAGCACTGCAATCCTTCATTTCCATCTTTGTCTGATTTGTACTGAACAAGATGACACTGAAGAGATATGAAACTTTATTATCAAAAGTCCTTTCCCGGAGACGAAGGTAGGTTAAAATATTACAAAGAGGTACAGTTAGCTAGGGCTATAGCAAAACCTTCTAGAAACGTTAGTTGCACAGCACAATCATTCCATATCAAACTGACCGCACAGATCATAACTAATGGATCAACAACACTACCCACGTTTTTGCTCCTTTAGGGTGTAATACACTTGGTATTTCTCTGATGCGATTGTGCGTTTTATATCTGATACCTGTGGCTGTGTCTGCCCCCCGCCCCCAGCTCAGTGTGTGGGTGTGCGAGAGGGGGCTCCCTCCTCCCCTCTGCATGCTCCTCACCCCAGCTCTCTTCCTTTGTTGGATCTTTTCACAGAACTCAACTTTTACCCCTCCAGCCATTTATTGAAAATCACTAAGTTTGTGACTGAGTCACCCCCACCCCTCCCACTTGCCAGCCACTGTCCTCCATTCAGCTCCCCCCTTACCTGCTGGCCAGGCTCTGCCTGCAGTGCTGCCTGAAGGGCATCAGGTGGTAGTTCATGGCGTCCAGCAGCAGCTTCTGGCAGACGGGGTCGGTGCGCATGAAATCCACCGACTGGACCCGCTCCACCAGCTCCGGGGCCGGAATGAGGGCGAAGCGGAGGCGCTTCATGAGGTCCGGGGCGTATTGCATGCGGGTCTCCCGGTCGTGCTCCAGCCAGAGCACGGACATTTGGAAGAGCGCCAGCTCCGATTCCACAGGGGGAGGCAGCGAGTCGAGCAGGGCGCGCATCTCCTCGAAGTTGAGCAGCAGCACGTCCTCCACCAGGTACTTGTTGGCCAGCTTCTTGGTCTCCTCCAGGCCGTGCAGGGCGGCGATCTTGCACACCTGCTTGTAGTTCTGCACGGAGATCTGGTCGTTGAGGAACTGCACGCACAGCTTGGTGACCTGCGGGATGTGCAGGATCTTGCTGACCGACAGCACCTCCTCCACCGTGTCCAGGGACAGGGTCACGTTGGCCGTGTACAGGTACTCCAGCACCAGGCGCAGCCCGATGGACGAGCAGCCTTGCAACACCAGGTTGTTGATGGCTCTGGGGCTGGCCAGCAGCTTGTCCTCTGGGGAGGAAGAAGGGGTGCCGGGCTCCTCCTGCTGCTGCTCCTTGGGGGGTCCCCCCAGGCCCAGTCCGTCCTGAGCGCCCGGCCCCAGAGCCAGGGGTTGGGGGTTGCCGCCACCGCCGCTGCTGGAGAAGAGGGATCGGAAGTACTGGGAACAGGAGGCCAGCACGGCCTTGTGGCAGTGGAACTGCTGGCCCTGGGCCGTCAGGGTCACGTCGCAGAAGAGCTGCTTCCTCCACAGCAGGTTGAGGCCATGCAGCAGGTTGTCGCTGTGGCTGGGGTCGAAGGTGGAGGTCCTGTCCCCGGATCTGGACATGGCGAGCAGCCTCAACGCACCTGCCTTTAAACCCTCCTCCAACCTGGGCAAAGGGGGCAGGGGAGGGAAGGGGACAACAATAAACACAGAGCTTTACAGCAGGCCTGGAGCACTCATCATTGCTAGATGTGCATGTTTGCAACGAAAGAGTCTCTCCACTCAGCCGCCCCCTTCCCAGAGCAACGGCCCTAAAGCCATGCACAGCAGCAGCAAGCTGGCGCCGGGTGCACCTGGGGGCTGGAGGCTGCACAAGCTCCTGGGGCCGGTGCCTGGCGCGGGGGCTTTGTCCTCCATGCACAGGGCTTGTGTAACGAGGGAGCAGAAGGAAGCAGAGGGGCAGGGAGAAGCGCGGCTTGGACCCCCCCCCCCAGTTTGCAAATCGGGCTTGTTTCCAGGGGAGGAGCGAGGAGTTGGGGGCTGGTTTCAAATGTGAAAACTCTGCGATGCCCCGAGAAACTAGCGATGCCCTGAGAAAAAACACAACCTCTCCCTCCCCCGCGTCAGCCCAGCCTCGGCGGCTCCCTGCCCAGCCTGTTGCTCTCCCTCCCCTCTGCTGCTCGCGGCTCTACAGCGCCGGGCTCCGCTTAGCCCAGCTGCAGCCCGCGCGCGTTTGTGTGGCCCCCCGGGGGAGGGGGCGCCGCGCGCTGCCCCGCGCTCCCGCCGCTCCACTTGCGCGCTTGGCAGGAGTTGGCAGCCTGGCGCTGGGCAGGCGGAGGAGGAAGCCCCCCGGGGATTGGGGGGGGGGGGGGGGAACCGGGCTTGTCCTGCCCTCTGGTTTCTTCGCCTCTGGGCAGGAGGCGCCGCCGCTTTTAACTCCGCGAACTGTGGGAAGTTCGAGTTGGGGGGAGCCCGGGGGGAGCCGCTGGCATCTGCCCTGCTGCCTCCCGCCACTCCCGGAGATCCCCCGCCGCGCCGGGAGGCGCCGCCTGGGGCCGGGGCTCCAGGCACCTCCGCGTGGGACCCTATACGGCACCTTCGCGGGTTGGAAAGAAGGGGACCGGGGCTGGCCACATCCCGCCTCCGAGAGAGCTGAGCCCGCCACTGCTCTTCCCCCTCCTCGGCGGGACCCTCCCGGGCCCGGCTCCTTCCATTGCACCGCGGCCGCTCACTCCTCACGAGCACTTGCTTTCCTTCTATTTTCCTTATTTACTGGGGGGGGGGGTTCTCCCGCGCCACTTTCCCTGCCCTGCTCCGGCTGAACCCCACCACCCCCCACTTTGCCTTTCCAGCATGGGTTTAAGAAATCTCCACGAGCCTCTCTCTTTAAGTGGACCCGGTCAATTCTCCCCCGCCCCCCCACCACACACACACACACACACTCTCCTCCTCCTCCTTCTCCCTCCCCCTCTTTCTTCCTCGTTTGCCCATTTCTTGCAATTGGAGTTTATTCTCCAAAGGCGTTTGTTACACAACTCTCCCCCCCTCCCCGCCAGCACACACACAAATACACCCCGCTCCTCCCCAACAACAAACAAACCAGAAGACACAAGAAAATACACACAGACGGCTAGACACAAGGCCAGAAACTTACCTGCTCCACAACCAGCGGCCAAAGTAAAGGTTCACTTAAGCTCCCCCCCAAAAAAATCAATTGTCCTTCCTTTTTAAAGGTTTGATCGCTCCTTCCAAAAAAAACCCAACCTTCTGGTTCCCAACTCGGAGCAGTCACTCTTTACAATTTATTTTGTCGTACATCATTTGATCACCATGAATTAGCAACAGCAAGAAAATGTAGGAGAGGGAGAAGGAGAGAGAGAGAAAGAGAGAGAGAGCGCAGAGCTTTCTGCAAGAGAAGAAGAAGAAAAAATGTACGTGTGACAAATTATGCTACCAAGAAACAACACATCATTATCCTTGGGCCTGGGGCTCAGTGAGTCGTAACGAGAGTAATAGGAAATCCACGGTTGGGGAGAGAAACGGTCGTGCATGGCCAGTGGAGAGAGACCATACAGGGGGATGGATGCTGGAGAGACTCGCAAAATTATGGCTCAAGGCTATTGTAAAAATTGTCGAGCGTAAATGACTGCGATTTCAAACATCTTTGGAAGAAAGAAGGGGAAAAAGCTAGCCCCCCCCCCCTCTGCCTCCCTCCCTCTCTCCCTCTCTCTCTATAAAGAACCGTCAAGTTTTAGTGCGCATTGCTAATTAGTCAATTTCTCTCTGCCTTCACAGGCTGGCGACTTTGCTGCTGAGCTGAAACTGCTAATTTCTGTGACCAGCTTTTTTCTTAGCTGTGATCTGGATGAATGAGTAGCTGTCTCACAGAGATGACAAAAATAAACTCTAATCCCCCCCAAAATTTCCACTACATCTTTCTCATGCATAGATTTATGATCTTCAAGCGCCCTGTGCAATATGCAAACTTTTTGTGTGTGTGTCTGTGTATATACTGTTCTATTCAGGTTGCACTATATTTGTATTCTGCCTTCCCCCTGGATGGGAAGGAAATAACGTCTGATCTTAATACACAATATATTGTCACTTCTTTTCTCCCCCAACGTTGCATTTATGTTATTGGTTTGACAGGTTACATCCTCCGTCCTTGCATGTGTGATGGGGCTGGGGGTGAGGTAGATAGGAGACGAGGAAAGTGAGGCTAGTGAATGGTATTAGTGGTAAATCGTTCCCTTTTACATTTGTTCCCCTGCACTATTCAAGATTTATGATCTTGTTTGAAGGCATATTTTCTCTATCGTTTTGTGTGGTTAGACAACCGTCTCTGAACTTCACTGTCAGCTCTTCAACAGATAAGGGTTCAGAAGTCACATTTTTTTTATTGGAAGATTAGCATATTGTCAGATTTGTCTTTCGGTTTGGAGACTTTACAATGCAGAAACCTGAATCAAATGGCAGGAAAGCAGCTGCTATTTCACAAACATAACCTTTCAACTTTCTGCCAGATCTGATGCCTTAGGAACGTGCACAGCTCATGGTTTTTTGACTCCTTTGTAGAATTAACAATCGGAGGGAGTTCTCTTTTAGGCATTTTGGCTTTTTTCTTACACCAAGGGGCATTTTGGTAGAGGACATGTTCTTCACACTTTATCTCATGATATACTGCACCCTCACATTTATAGCTCTGTTCTTCTGTTGTCAAGTCTCCATTCAAGAGGTGTGTGCATGCAGGAAGGTATGTCCTTGAATGAAATGTACATGAAAGGAGACTGAAGAGCACTTACAGAAAGTTTTAGCTGGTGTGAAATCCATAAGCACCACTCTTTCCAGCTAATAACAGGACTCTTCTCATTAAAATAAACACTAATGGTGTTTCCTTGAAAGGCAGCCCTCATTGTCTTTCTCCTTAACTTGCAAAAAGATACCAAGCTGGAAGTCAGATTTCTCAGGATGTGGACAGTCTCATCTTGAAATGCTGGAGCTGAAAGAAGCTGGACTGTAACTTCCAGGACAGTTCTCACTTTAACTTGCTTTTTTGGTGACTCAAAATAAAAATCTACTGTGCCATATCTTTTCATTTTTTTCCTATCTAAAAGCTCCCTCATTTTAGAGCAAGAATCTCCTTCCTCCTTTGTACAGTGCTGCCTTCCCTGGATGTAAAGTGTCACTAAATTGTGTTAGATGGGAAGAGCAATTTTTATATCATCTTTATGCTGTTAAACTTTGCTATATTACTGCTGTAATGGCTGTAAATAATCCCAGTAGGTTTTTGTATAGTTCTTCATTAAATGATGTGTCACATACTCTTACACGCTATACGTTGCAAAAAGATGTCTTTGAAGGTTTTGACTGACCCAGCCAACATCTTACAGATTTCTAGCACTAACACATTGAAATGCTTTGCTCAGTGGAAAACACCATGGTTTGTTGTTTTGTTTTTCACTTTGCTACCCAAACCAATATCAAAATGAAGCTTAATCTTATTTCCATAAATGAGCTTTGGCCATTTACGCATTATAAATGTGTAACCTTCTCTCATGCTGTCTGAAGTGGCTCACAAATTGGTTGGATGTTCTGTAATTAGATATCACCAACCCAGTAACAAATGTGAACTCTTAAACCACTATAACAGTCTTAAACCCCACTATAACAGTATGGAGTCACAGATAGTCCCCTTGGGTATTCCTGTCTATCTTGCTACCCAGGCAAGATAGACTATGTGATAGATGGTCACTTTACACCAAAAATCACAACAATATTCAGGTTACTTCCAGTCCCAAAGGACGGGTCACTTACCTGAGGCCATTTGTACTCAGATTTCAAACCAAAGACAATGTCTGTAGCCAGTCCTGTAATAAACTAACTAAAGATTGATTAACTAGGAAAAAGAAATGAGAGTTTTTTGCAAGGTTAAAACAGGAAACATATACATACAAATGTAGATTTAGATTTAAAAAGGTAATATAATCATCTGTAATAAGCAGCTCTGTATATCCTTTAGGATACACAACATGGGGATCTCTTGCTTATGTTTAGGGATCTTTGCCCCAGTTTCTCCTTGTCAAGAATTTTTATTCCCTTCACCACAGAATCCAAACTGATGGGATGAGTTCATGCGCAGGCCTCTTCTTCCTGGAGAGAGTGAGGAATGCAGTCAACAAGGTTTCTGTCTTTTGATGCAATACAATGCCTCATTTGCCTTCAGTGGTCCAGCTTGTATGCAGGACAAGCACTTTCCCTTAATTAATGCTTCTTTTCCTGTTTGGTGAGTTACACAATTAAAGAGGTTTACAGTGCCAACACTCAATATAACTTTATACCATGCAATGCAGCTATTGTAAGTAGAATTAATACATGAAGCATCCTACTAGATTTCCATAAAATCTAAACACTGAACATATTCTTAGAACACGAATATCTATTTTTAACTATACTAGCCCACAGAAAAGTCAGACAGATTTCCAGCTATGCATTTGTCAGTGTTCAGTGAAGCCATGGCATGAACTGGCACCTGGTCTGCCAGCGTCATACCTTCAGCAATCAAAGTCTTTGCAAGAGAAAAAACTGAGTTAAACCAAATTGGGGAAAATTTTCAAAAGTCCAGGGGATTTAGGCTCCTAAATGGTGTAGGAGTTTTTAAAGTTATTGTTTGTCTCTTTGGGCAAGACTGCCTCCTCCCATGGAAAATCCTGCACAAGGCAGCAGAGGGAGGAAACTCTGATTCTTGTGGGGTTTCTCCTAAATCTTGAACGAGCCAAACTGCTGACTTGTTTCAAAATGGGAGGAGGGGCTGTTCTTCTTACCCACTGGAATGAGCAGGGGAGTGGCCATCCAGAACTTACAGATCTCCTGAGAACATCTCAGATTTCAGAGAATTTACTGAGGGTCACGCTCATCTACATGCAGGCTCTGAGCTTCCACACTAGCTCCTGAGCCCTCTTGCCAACAACTGGGGAACACCCCAACCCCACATGGGAGTTGCACAGAATGGAGGGCTCTGCCTCAGGCTGTTAACTTTTCAGCAGATTTGCTGCTGGCTGCTGAAGGGAGGTTAATACATGTTAGCCACCAACCTCTGTTCCTCCATTTCACCTCATTCCTCACACGTGGGTTCTTGAACCCATGGAGGATCCTCTGACAATCTTGTGAAAGGGAAGATCTTGCTGCAGATGCAGCTGAACCCCGCATCACCACCACCACCACTTCCCATCAACTGTATGGGAAGGAGGAAATAGATCTTCATGAGCATTAACATGACAAAATAGGGCCCTGTCTTTAACTCCCAATTAACAATAAACTCAGTAACTGACCAGGGTAAATATTTTCAATACAAATTCATTTAAAAATGATTGTGGTTTTTAAAATTCCCTGTATATTCTATATTCAATTTGTGGTCAGGTTTTTTGAATTTTTACATATTTTGTTGCTGTAGTAGACTCATGCTGTGATAGACACCATCATACAGATCAGAAATCAGCAGGTGCTCTTTGCACAGGATCTTAATAAAGAACAAAGGTGAGTATCAATCTGAAAAACCTATCTTTTTGTTGTAAAAGCTGGTGGTGGTAACTGAATTTTAGCTTACTTCATTGTTCGATGTTGTAGCCTGATTTAGGGTGTGTTAATAATATTAATTTAATTTCTCAATGTAATGTTTATTTTATTTTATTTAATTAATTAATCATACTAATAGTAATTAATTATTAATATTAATAGTATGGGTCTTAGGCTCGCCAATCTGTTTGATCAGAAGATAAAAGTTCTTGTCCAGAATCAGGCTCGACAGAATTTACAAAGGATCCTCGGGGGTATGACAGGAGGCTCACACTGAGACAGATATAGTCGTAAAGACTTTTTTATTAAAATCAATGAAATAGTAAGTAAATGGTAAACTACCCAGAGTTACAAAGTTACAATTGCATTACTGCTATTCAAAAGATACATATGATAAAATAGTATTATATGCAGCAAAGCTTTGGTTAATATACTCACACCCTTCCTTGATAACCTGGTGGTAAGAGACACAGGACCAGCTTTGCAGTTCAGGCTTCTCAATTGTTGAGTGAGGGATGCAGTGCTTAGAGGAAACTAATGCTAAGAATGATCAAATCTAATTTAGGGTTTACTTGACTAACTTAAACTTAAAATCAAAACCTAATAAACTAAGAATAAAACGTAGGGAAACCGAGCTTAGCCTAGTTCCCTTGAAACTTAAAGTTTAAGAAGAACAAGTACAGCCTACTAATAGTAGCGGTCATCATAGATAGATAGAATAGATAGAGAGAGTGGAGGAAGTAAGTGAGAATAAGTAAGAATACTCTAGCGAGGTGGGTCACCTCTTTTATAGGGCAAAAGTGCCGGAAATCCTTCCTCCTATGCCCAAATTTCATTCCTCACACACAAAATGTTAGGGTATGCTTACTCCATAGGCTAGTATGTATGTGCGTATTGATGACATGTACATACACACATAAGTTTCCTTATGGTGTACCTGTTAAGTCTCTGGATACAAATTGAAAACTCCCCTATGCCATTCTTCATTGTCTATCGGTCTAGATAAAAGGTCCTCG